TAGGAGCCCTTTGTCCTGCTCCCTTGGTACCTAGCATGGTGTCTGGAACTTGGTGGTTGCTAGGAGAGAACGTGCACCTTGACTGCCCTGAAGAGTACTCCAAATTACAACTCGAGCAGCCTGACGAAGATCTAAGATGAATGGGTTTTAGAGTCCTTGTTTCTCCTGGCACCGTCCCTCCCACCTCCAGTCCCAGATCACCACACAGACAGCACTAGCTTTATCCAAGAATAAAACCCGTTACATAACCACATGGCAGGCAAGGGGTGAGCAGAGAAGCAACCTGAGAGGGACATGTTGTCCACCTCTAGTCTCCAAAGCGTAGCCCCTGGGAAGAACTTTCCATCTCCCTAGGAACCTCCCTCGGCCTGCAAACTTTCCTCCGTCTCCTCTCCTTGGCACTTTCTATATTTTATTTTATTTTGGTCCTGCACATTATTTGAAGTTACTATAGCAACGTGTCACCAGCTGGCATTGCATAGTAATGTTGGCATTTGGGTAGCAAGCTCCCGAAGTTGCTCTTTCCCTCCCTCTGTGATCTCCTCACTCCCACTAACCTCAGGTGAGTGGGGTGCCTCCTCAGCCCCTGGGCCCCTCTCCCCTGTTTGGCTTATTTTCCAAGGTAGAGCAAATCCTAAAGAGTCTTCCTTGCTTCTCTCTGCACTGAATACTGCAGGAGTCCTGTGTGTGTGTGTGTGTGTGTGTGTGTGTGTGTGTGTGTGTGTGTGTTTGCATTTGTATTAGAGGATGTTAAATAGATATGTTGAAGTTGAATGTTGTGTACTAAAACTATTGTCATTATTAATATGATGATCAGGACAATTTTTTCATGCAAAGAAGTGAATCCGGGGTTTGCAGAGGGCTACTCTCCACATGGAAATCACTCAGTATCTGAGCTAATTATTTTGTGCCACATGGTGTGAGGTTTCTCTTCTCTTTTGCCTCCACGTAGTGAAGAGACCCCCACTGTTTCCCTTGGAGGTCCAGCTCTCTCCCAGGTGCGCAAGACCTCCCCACATACTGACTGATGAGCCGAATTAATTACGAGAATTGATCACCTCGGCATGCAGAAGAGGGTCCTACACGGCAGATAAACCCCGCCGCTTGCCGAGTCAAAGAGCCCTCATCAGCCAAGTGCCCGTGATGACTGTACTTATTTTTACACGTTTGACCTAGTTTCAAACCGTGTCTCTTCATGCTGTGATTCATTAGCCACATTTTAAACCAACCCCGATCGGAGCCAGGTGACTCTGCTTGGTTTGCCCCAGAGTCTCAGACTCAATTTCTCTCTAGAATTTAATATGCAAGTCCCACTGGTGTTCCGTTTTAAGAAGCAATTTCCTATCCAGGCACCTGGCATGCTGCTTGGGATGGATGAGTGGCTGCCTCGTGCCTTGGTAGTAAATATATGTCCATTTCAGAATCTCTGCCAGGGATGAGAAGAGGGAGAGTCTTGCTAGCCTGGACTACCAGGGATCCCCCACCCCCACAGCCCCCACACAGCATTATACTGCTCTTTTGGGTTGCTGATGGGCTGGGAGTTCAAGCTCCTTTGCTATAAAGTTTGAGCAATGTCAATGTTAGGGCTGTCTCAACTGCTAGGGCAGATGCAGTCTGATCTAATTCCTTCTAAAATTTTCAGTCATGGTGATGTAGAAGCAGGGTCCCAAACTTGTAAGAGGGGAGAAGAGCAAGACAGAGTTGCCATTTTGAGAGTATACCTGGAAAGGGGACACATGTCAGAGAAACATAATGTTGTTCCATCCTTCTATCATTGTGACAAAGTGGTTTTTGAAAATTCAAATGGCAGAGCACAGCCTTTCCTGAGCAGAAACCTGCTACCCATGTCTTGCTCCATTTCGGGTATCAATCGGTGGTGTTGGTATGATTTCTGAGGGGTCTGATACCACAGTGGGCTAGGTACTACAGTAGGAAAATGAGATGCCTGCAGTTGGAAGTCACACACTGTCATTTTTCACTAACAGCCAAATGCAGGTAACTTGTGCAAACTTCAGTCACATCACACCACCAATCCTACGGAAAGGAAAAGGCACCCAGCTGGGGTTTTCTGTGTGGCAGTTGGAACAAAGAAATTAACAAGCTGGTAAAAGTAATTTAGAGCGATCCACAATCTCTACCACACTAACCCACTCCTAATAAAACGATAATGATTTCTTTCATGAAATGGTCACTCTCTCTAATAGGGACTGCAATCCTGCTCCTTGATTTTTTTTTTTTCTTTTTCAAGGAAGCATAGAAGTTTCCTTAAACAGGGCTTCAGACAAGGCAGCCTTTTCAAGGTAATTCCAAGCAAAGTTAGCTCCCAGATCTGATTTTTTGCATTTCCCCCCTTTCCAATCGAGCCATTGACAATAACAAGCATTCCATACCTATGCATCTGGGGCAGCCAGCAGTTGTGACAATGGTGGGCTTTTCACCCCTACCCCCCCCCCCCCCGCCAACACACACACCCATGCAAGCTCACAATCCCAGCGCTCCGTTAAGCCAAAGCTTTAGAAGTAAACTATCGTCCAAGAGGCGAACAGCGTTTTCTCTTAGAAGATCATCCATCACACACACAAATAAAACCTTCCCACATCTCTTACCTTGAAGCAGTGGGATTACCTGCCGGAGATGTCCCCCCTTCCTTGCACAACAAGCCAGGCTTTGACCAGCAGCAGAATAACTCCGAAAGAAAGAAAAATAAGTCCTTTATATTGTAATTTTCACTGTTTATATGCAAGAAGTGTAGTGGGTCTGCTCACGTAGGAATAAATAAGCCGAACAAACTGCACAGCAGCGACTGTGTGAAGAGAACGGCCCTCTAGTGGCCACAGGCGGAATTCTTCCAGGAAGGGAGAGGAGATGGAGGGAGTAGAGGAGGCAGGGGATCGTGGTGCGCATACACACACGCGCACACACTTGTACACCCTTTAAGCCCTAGGATTTTGTTTACATCCAGCTGGCCAGAGGTATACACAGGAAGTAAGTTCATTTCTTGACTTAATGGACCTGGTGAAGTTGGCAGTGCTGGGGCTGTTCAGTCTGGGTTGAAAGGGTGAATAATTTCAAAACTCACCACCCGCTGTTGCCTGAGCAGGAGAGAGGAACTGGCTGCAGACCATGCAGGGGGTGTGGCCCCGTGTAGACGCTGCCAGTCCCCTCCATGGAGCAGACTGGTCACTGTTCCTGAGAGTCCCCGGTGTCGGGCTCTCTGCCAGATCTGTATGTTTCCTAAGCGTTTACGGTGAATGTGGGGGTCACCGGCCAGCTGGGCTAGCTTCCTGTGTGAGTGACCCGCTTAATCATACTGAGTCCCTTGCTTAGAAAGGCCACAGGGCTATTTTGAAAGCCTCAATCATTTTAAACAAGGGGCCCACATTTTTATTTTGTTCTGAGCCCCACAAATTGCCTAGCTGGTCCTGCCAGCAGGGGAAGCAGACGATCTCAACTGAAAAGAACCCAGAAGCAAAGGACAATCTGTATCTTTGGGAGCCACTTTGGTGAACAGGAGCCTCAAAGACATTTAATCACCCTAAAGGGTTCCTGAGGAGGAATGCAAAAGGGGTCTCCTGGGGTCACCAAGGATGCTGCCCCACCACGGGAACAAAATTGTCAACCATCGGCAGGTATTAATGTTTGCCATATTTTTTTAACAAAAGAACTTCTTTTTATATAAACAAAGGTTAGCAGTGTGTGATGCCAGCCCCAGTTTTTGGTTCAAACATAAAATTTCCAAGCCTACCGCCTCCAAACATAAAACTTCTAAGGACTCTTGGAGTGGGGGTCCCTAGAGACACCGGCATGACAGTGCCAGTCCATCACCAATTGTCTGCACTGGGCTGGACAACAGCGGACCCACCTCTGGCCAAGATGGCAGCCCCCCGGGGATCGTACAGGGGCAGTACAGAGTAGCTTCTCCTGGCTGCTGGCTCAGTGGCCAGTGCTTCCTTGACCAGGTCTCCCTCCTGTTGCCTGTAGATATTAGCATGAGTGGAAGACACACCCTAAAGCTGACCCTGCCAGTCTGGGAGAGAGATGGCAAGAGAGACCAAGCTGAGGTCTATGGTGCGTGAAAGGGTGTATTCCCTGCCTGTCTGCTCCCAGGGATCCTTCCAGACCTCTCCAGCTCTCCGCCTCAGTTTCCCTCTTGTCTGAATCCTTCAGGATCTTGAACTTTTTCTCTCCTGGATTCAGACATGATTTCCCAATGAGACCATCAACTCTTGGACAGCAGGCTCCATCCCTTCCTTTCTTATCCCACCCTAGGTTGCCGACTTCTCTGGCTCCTTCATAATGATCCAATAACTGGTCCCTCCACAGGGAACCTTAATGTATTTCAGGGTGGTCTCAGATCCAGTGGATCCTTTTTTTGCTTATTAGCGCATGTCAGTTCTACAGAAGTTCAGGTTTCCTTGTGGCACCTTGGTACATACAAATAAATAACTTGCTTTGATTATCAGATCCTTTTGATAAATCTCTAGTGGGAGACTGGATGGGTGGATGGATGGATGGATGGATGGATGGATGGATGGATGGATGGATGATTGCCCCACTTTACAGATGAGATAACTGGGATTGCCCATGTAAAAATTATTTAACAGAAAGTGAAACCGACTCCAGGAGCCCCACCTCGGCTGAATCTCCCAACACCCACCACTGCTTTTTTCCCAAAGTACAAGCAGCAGGAGAGGTCCCGCGTCGGCTCTTCTTTTCATACCTGCGGTGCTTGCTGCAGGGGCATCATAAGTGCTCAGTGAAGGCTGATTCCATGAAGGCGCTGTAAGGAGACATTTACCCCTAGGCAAGTTTCACACACTCATCCAGTGAGGAGAGAGTCCCTGTCYTTGGACGGCTCTGTGACACTTGCTGGGGAAGGTTGAGCATTTTCCAGTTTAGAGTCAAGGAAATGGGAGAGATGAATCCCATGGTCCTTTCTCACTCGTCCATGGTATTTTTCTTTATGTCTTGCAGAGTCACTTCGTGGCATGTATGACGGCCATCCTAAACCAGATGGGTGACCAACACTACTCCTTCTACATCGAGACCTTCCACACCAGCTCAGACCTTGTGGTGAGTCTGAGAGACGCTGGGGATGGAGGGCGGGTGGGCAGGACATGACACCTGGCTCTCATGGTTCTCATGAGTTTAGGACACAAAGACATCCCCGCAGGTCTTGGGCGTGTTTATGAGCATGTCTGATTTCATGTCTCTTGAACTTCTCACTCTGGAACACGTCATCAATCATGTCAGAGTCGAGTCACGGACATCTACCATGTGATCTAGATGTGGCTCAATAAATAGGTGCTGGTGAATCTTGGATGCTTGCAGCCTAAGACCAAGAGTTGGAGTCATGCAGTCTTGGATTTGAATCCTGGCTTTTTCACCAGCTAGCTGTGTGACCAGGGGCAAGAGAACCTCTCATAAGCCTCAGTTTCCCCATCTGTAAAGTGGGGATAATTTGATTGGGTTTCAGGGTATGCTGAGGGGCTTGGGTGGGAGCACTGTGTTGCTCACATTGTGAGTACACAGGAGAGATAGCTAGTATTAGGTTATGATAGCGCATAGAAGAAGTTGGCCTGAGCCCAGGTCTCTTTTTTCTTTCTTTTCTGTGCTGAGGATGGAAGCTAGGGCCTAGCGGATGCTCCTCAAGTGCTCTACCACTGAGCTACATGCCCATCCCTGAGCCTCTTCTAGCCTCTCAGGACTCAGCTGCTACAGGACCACCACCCCATGCCCCATGGCCATCGGGCTCTGCAGCAGATACAACAAAGAGACCCACCCCCACTGCCCTGTCCCAGGGTGTAGCAGAGGACCCTTTCCTGACGGTGTGGCCCTTTGTCACTCACCACTTCCAGGGGCAGGAGTCCTGCAGCTAGGAGCTCTCTTAATTCTCCTGGGAAGACCAAGGGTGCTGAACCTGGACCACCCTCAGAGAGTGGCCCCTCCTCAGGGAATGACTGGGAGCCAACAMCCCCACCCCCAGCGGTGGGCCAAAGCTCTCCTCTTGGTAGTAGGGTTGGAAAGAAATGGAACCCTTTTCTGGATACTCAAAAGACAAATAAAAGGAATAACCCCAGTTTTTCTCCCACCCCCACCARGTTCTTTATGTCTTGGGACACGGAAATAGGAAAACCAGATTCCTAATTTTTGATCCTTTATGTAAACAACGATTCCCGGGAAGGAAGGTGGGGAAGAGAATTCTTACTTGTTGAACCTATGCACTTTCTTATCTGATTCTCCTAGCAGTATGACATGAGTGTTAGGAGTCACCTGCTTCAGCTCTACAGTCTTCTTGACAAAGGCTCCACAGCAGTACAGGACCAACATGCTCGAGGTCCACCTTGAACCTCAGCTCTGCCCCTCACACTACATGCATCTTCTCAGTCAGAAGCCACTTTGTCCATCTGTGAGCCAGAAGCCTTCTCCATCCCGTAGGAAGGGGGTGTGCCTGGGACGAGGGCCACACTTGCCCAGGTGACATCAAGGGTGAATAACAATCTCCGCCATTAACATCTCCAGCATTAAGGAGCTCTTGGCTCCAAGCCTCTGTGCTAAGCTCCCAGGTGCACCTACCTAGTCACCGTGCTGACCCTTGGGGATAGATGCTGCCCCCATTCTACTGATGTGGAAGCTGGGACTTAGAACACTGAGGTCATTTTTCCTAGAAGCAGAGACTGCTGGGAAAGAACCAATGCCATCTCCAGAATTTTGCAATTTATCTTAAAGCAGTGATTTTCAAATTATGTTCTTTCTACTTTCTCTCTCTCTCTCTCTCTCTCTCTCTCTCTCTCTCTCTCTCTCTCTCTCTCTCTCTCTCTCTCTTTCACATACACACACACACACACACACACACACACAGAGCCCATCTACTTTTATCTATTTCAAATATTAGGTTCCAGGTGAGATTTCCTTTGAACAAAGAATTCTGCAGGCAGGATGATTTGAAAACCACTGCTTATGGAAAGAATTCTGAAGGGACTCCCTCTGGATTTTAGGCTTCACCTAAAGCATTCAAGCGATATGGTTTTTATTACTTCCAGCTCAAGAGGGTCACAGGTTCTGGGTCTTTGCTATCTGGATTTGTACTGAATTTGTTTTCTGCAAAGATGGAGGCCAAGTTTGTCCCACTGCAAAATCTGAGGGAGTGTGTTGAAGTCACTTTGAACCTCTCCAAAGGAGGGAAGGAGAGTCCTCGTTCCTATGCTCCCTCTAATCTGCTCATATGTGTGTGTGTGTGTGTGTGTGTGTGTGTGTGTGTGTGACAGATGAAATAGCTGTGTTTACACCACTGCTAATTAGATGCTCATTTAAATAATAGTTTATTTGCTAAATGGCCTGAGATGTGTTCATATGGTGTCGATTATTTTCTGCTCAAATACATATTTGGGAAGATGATTATAAAATTGCCACATCGATGAATACATTTACTTCTTTATTCTCAAAGACAGAATTAATAGTGCTTTATTTTGAGATTATCTCCTTATTCCATATTCATGTTCTACTTATTTGCAAAAGAGCCTCTCAGAAGCCAACTTTTATGCTTCTATTTACAATACATGGCAATGAATTTCCCTGAATTAGCTTCAATGAAGAATTGATCCCCTTACCTTTCTGTCTCTCTATAAAAAATAATAATAAAGGAAACATTGTAACAGCCCACGGGACCTAGACACTTGAAGTCACTTCCTACCTGCAAGGCCCATGACTGGCGTGTTTTCTCCACTCTTTCAGGACTTCCTGATGGAGACTTTCATCATGTTCAAGGACCTCATCGGGAAGAATGTGTACCCCGTGGACTGGATGGCCATGAGCATGGTTCAGAACAGGTGGGAGACCTTCCCCACAAAGGCCACCTCCCAGGGCTCAATGAAGAGATCACTGGTAGCCATGAGGTGGGGATAGCTCCCCCTAGTGGGAAGAAGTTGAAGTGCTGACATATCCTGTCCACATTGAAACCAGGGGAGAACTTCACATTCATCCTGAATTACTCAGAAGTCCCCCACTCCTTCTCTGTTCTTGAAATCCCAGTTAGGATACCACACTTTGTCTCTGAAACCTTCCCTGAACTCTCTAGACAGGCACGTATAGGGAAGAATTTTTAATTATATTATTTCAAAATTTATTAAAAATAATCAAACATATCCTGTGACCTATGGTAAAAGAAGTGCAGGAAGTTGCATTGGATTAAGCAGCATTTTCCAAGAGAGGATTTAGGAAATAGAGTTTTACCGATGAATCTGTCTTCGGAGTCATTGGTGTGTTGTAACTGGGGTGTCTCTGGATRTGCACATCATAGCTATGAACATCTTATGGATTGTCAGTGTAACCCAAGTAGAGCTCACACCCAACATGGCCCAGCCCAGCAGGAGATAAAAGTTAATTGTCAAAGATTTCAGTATTTACCATTACGTCTCTACTACATTTCAACACAGTGAAATTCAGATCCTGACACTCGGCCACATCTTCTAATATTCCTTTTCTCCACTCCCCTGGATCCCATCTCTCTCACATGGTGAGGTTTCCCCTGGTCTCTCTCAGACCCTTTTTCTCACATCCCACCCATGATGACCTTCAGCGGGGCCTTCCTGGACCCTCTCTCCCCTTTCTCTCCCCCTTTCTTTGGCTCTCGTGTTTGCTTCAGGTCCCCCAGGAAAGCCCTTCATCTCACCCCAGCTCCCAGTTTATGACCCTCTACATTTTGCCTCACTTCTGTATCCCGAAACCCAAGTGCTGATTGGCAGAGAGAAAGGTCCCCAGAGGGTGGAAGAAGAGGAAAGTCGAACGTGCCGCAGCTGAGTTCTCTTTGGTGGAAGGGAAAGAGAGGAGACGAGGAACATTTACATATTGATGATTTGCCATTGATACAGCCTGAGGATTTCTATCTCCCATGCTTGGAGCCGACTCCAGCCCCAGCTGGCCCCCCTCCAAAGCTGTCCTTGCTCTCTCTGTGCTCACATGGTCCACCAGGTGACAGTGGACACCCTTGCCCACAGAGCTCTGGGGCCAACATCCAGGGCTGCTGGAGTGGAGGAGGGCTTTGTTCTGGAAGGAGCTGTCTGTCTGTGTGCCTCTGCTTCCCCTGGGAGGAGGAAGATCAGCCCAGCAGCAGGTGTCAGAGCGTCTCAGCTGGGCCACCTCCAGGTTCTCCCTTCACACCACGCAGGTGCAAGCTGACTTCTGCAGGATTATTGTGCTGGTGGGAACTGGGCCCAGGCCACATGCTGGGTCAGAGGCAGGTCACTCCCCAGCCTTGTGGGCATGAGACAGGCAGGTGCACGAAGCCCAAGGCTCGGAGGGCTCCATGCTTGGTTTAATGCTCTGGTATCTCGAAATTCTTAACAATTTCTAGACAAGGACACTTGTATTTTCATTTTGCACCGAGCCCTCATAATTTTGTAGCTGGTCATATATTGATGACCCGTCAGTCACCTGGAGCTGCGAGGCAGCCAGCTCCTGCACTACAGGAGGGCCCTTTGCTTTTTTGCCCACTGGTTGGTAAGGTGTTGGGGTTTTGCCCACAGGCCTCCAGCTGAGTGGCCTGCACAGTCATTCCAAAGAAACACATGCGGATCTGTGGGCCAGTGCCTTGGAGGAACATCCCCTCCTGAAACCCCTGCTCGCTACGGACCTGAGTCTGTTCATCTGGAGATGATTCCTTGTTTCTCACTGCCTAGGAAATAAGAATAGAATTTTCTAGAAGCCGGAGAAAGCGGAAGTGTCTCCTAAATGGAAACATTTATATCTCTTAAGGATCAGCTAAGTACTACTGTTGCATTTAGTTACTTTTTTAAAAAAGTTGGAATAGAGCTTCAGCCTCCTAAGTTTCCCCACCTTGCCTTTCTCTGGCTTCTTCCTCACTGGTACAATAGGGACAGCAATAGTTCCATTAGATGGACTTTGCAGCATGAGGATGCAATGAGCTGTTCCCAGCACAATGCCCGGTGGCTGGGAAGAACTCCATGAGTCACAGTGCTGCCACCACAGGAGAGGACAGATGTGGTCTTGAACTGGAGAAGCATGTGCTGATGTCACCCCTCCACCGTTCAATGCCTGGCTTCTCACACACGTGGCTTGGTCCCTTTCCTTCACCTTCTGGCCACAGTGATCCCTTAGGATCCCGGCCCCTTGAAGTTTCCTCCCTGTTGTGCTCCTTCTGTGTCATTTGCTTCTGCTGACGTTCATCGCGTCCTCCTCCAGGTGGTAAACGCTTCAGGTGCATTTGCTCATTTCATCCCCCAACAACTTTACAATGAGGTAAAACTGTCAGAATCTGCATTTTTCTCTGTGAGGAGCTGCACACAGAATAGATAAGCAGTAGCCTACTCACAACTGCATTGCTGATAAGGAACAGAGAAGCCATTGGATCTGAGCCCTAACCTTAAGGGCACTGCTTGGACAAGTGCCCTGAGGCCCAAGGAAGGGGGGCCTTGCCAAGGACCCAGCTAGGTGGGACAAACAGGACAGCGGCCGGGGTGCCCAATGCCCTCCTCTCTTCTGCAGCACCTCAGCTGGTTCCTGTGGCCTGGATGGCTTCACTTGTTAGTCTGAACATCATAACAAACTTTCTTTCCTGTCTTCGTCCCTCCGCCTCCTCCTCTCTTTTCTCCCTGTTATCTATGTTTTCTATAAAATCTGCTTGTTTTTRTGAATTTTCTCTCATCACTTATGATTTATATACACAAATTAGTCATCCATTATTTACTTTTGTGCGGGCTGGAGGAAGGAGTGGGGTTTTCCAAAATCAAATGTCGCCCCAGCTGTGTACCGCTTGTGTAGACAGATGTAATGACAGTCTACTGCAGGAGATGCTTCCTGTTAGAGCTTCCCCCCCCTCCTTTTTGTTGAGATGCAGCATTCAGTAAGATCTGATTTACATGACATGATTAATTTTTAAATAATCAAGTTCTTTAAAACACTATAAATTTACAGAATGGTGCCTAGGAAACTCTTTTTTCCCCCCTCTTCCATCTGTGCCTCGATCTGGAATTCCAGCATTTCTGGGGGCCTTGGGAATCTAAATGCATCCCTGAAGCTCCTTTTAAATGCAGTTGACCGATCAACAAATAGTTATTGAAAGTCTTAGGTGTCTGGGCTCCAGGGCGAACACAGATCAGTTCAAGCTATGGTCCCAGGTGGCAGAGGGCTTCCAGTCTAGTGGGGAGACAAGTGCACCCGTGGGAATATGGCCTAGTGCTGTATGGCCCCCAGAGACGGCCCAGAGGCAGCACAGAGAAGTGAGAACCTGTGACTTCCTGGGCTCAAATCCTGTTTCTATCAGTTAACTGGGCAAGATACTTAACCACTCTGGACTCAGTTTTCCTCCCCTTCAAGTAGGACTAGCAATAGTGCTTGTCACAGAGGATTACTGTGGGGACTGAGATGAAGTCATACACAGGAAGTGGCCAGAACAGCATTGGCACAGAGCCAGCATTTCCCAAATGCAAACTTCCATTTTCACTTTTATATGCTCTAGACGTAGCCAAAATGCTTCACGGAAGAGGCAGATCTGGCTGCATCCTGTCTGCATTTATCAGTGACATGTTTTAAGGTCTAATCTCATCTCAGGCCCATAACAGGCACACCGTAAGGGACACAGCAGTTGACCTAGGGAGCCCCCCGGGGCAGCCTAGAGCAGTTATCCAGAGGTCTCTGAGGGTGCTGAGGGTGAGGAGCACCATCCCCATCCTCCTCCTTCCCTACGTGGATGTGACTGTTCCTTTTTGGAGTTCCCACCTCCTCCACCCACACCACCCAGACAGGGAGCGAGACCTCTATGGTTCCTTCTGTCGGCAGGCTCACCTCATCTGGATGTCCACAGGCTACTGGTTTCCCGAGTCTGGGAGTCTCCTGAATCCCTAACTAAAGCCCTAAATGATGCAGGAAATGTCACAGGCGCTTGGGGCAAGCCATGCCTGGTGCCCAGCTGGCATCTGCTGATTGACTGGAGCCTCATGGTGCTGGAGCTTCTGTGTTGAGGGAAGCGGCTCAAGGGCTCTGGGGAAATGGATGTCTCAGTGCCTCCTTCAGAGGGATGAGCCCTGCCCGCTGGCTGACTCTTTCATTTCCATCTTCAAGTTTGATCAGTAGAATTAACTACATCCCATGAGCTTTGCAAGGTGGGCAGGTGGGTGGGGTTCAGAAAGGCCCTCGCCCCAGCTTGGCAAGTCTCCCCAGAAGGGGCATGCCTTCTTTTATCCTTCTTTTATCACACCACACACCTGTCAACCTGTGGGTGTGTGTTGATGCTGTGTTGTCACTTCAGGGTATTATCAGCTCAGATCTTCCTGCTCCAGAGATACAAGGTGGCGGCAGGTTAAGAATAGTAACGACGACTGACACGACTGACATTTATCGAGGACCTCTATGTGCTGAGGCTCTGGGCCACCAGCTTCAAATACTGCCTCTTGTTTGATCCTCACCCATGGCTCCTTTTACAAAAGGAGCAACTGAGATTCATGGAGGTCAAGGTCGGAGCTCAGAAGAGGGGTGGGTGGAAGGTTGACTGGAGGCTTGCTCCAGCCCCTTCAGGAGTCCGTGTGCACCTCTCCTTCCTGTGTCCCRAAGGAAGGATACATAGATGTCACAGAGGCTGACTCGGGAGGCGGGATGCGGGCTCAGCTGCTTCTGTAACAAGGATTTGTTCTGCTGTACAAAGGCATAGGAATCCAGGACCCCCAGTGGCCGCATCAACACCTCATGCGGCACAGCTTTGGGGGAGAGCAGGACTGCGTTTGACTTCTCTTTCTGCAGCTTCTGCCTGCTCACGATAGCTGACTTCTCTGCCCCTTGCTCGATGGCGTAGGATTTCTAGTTGCTCATGGAAACA